TTAATTTTTATATTCATTTATTTAGGCTGCATAGAGTATAAGTGTATTATTTATTATTTTAATTTAAAATTTAATTTTCTTTGCTTATTTTGTTCATATTTATTCACCCGATTTTTCGCCCAATTTCAATTGACTTTGTACCACGGCAATCGCTGTGGCGCTGCCACAAGTCGTCAATTTTTAAGTACGTTTTATTGTGCTTTATTTAACTTTATTTCATTTCGATTTTTACCAGCACTCTTCCCGCCTTATCCAAAATGATTACCACTCCTCGCAGCCCCTCTCCCCTTCTCCGCGACACCACCGTAGCCCCCTCTGATACACCCGCACTGAAAACTTCAGTTCACTTAACGCTGCGCCATGTGTTCAATATTTTTATGCCGTATCTGATTTACAATTTGCATTTGTGAGTACTCATTTCTATATGTTGGAATGGATATGTATTCGTATTTAATGGGCATAGACGGAGAGCGTACACACACACATACATACACATATTTCTATGTACACATTATGTGTTATGGAAGGAACTTAGTCATTCAAAATTGTGCTTATGATTACGATTATTAGTTATTATTGCTGTGTTTGCCTGATTGCCACATCGAATGAATGTATTTATTAGCAGTTGATAATTATTCAATTTGAGTTAGGAGCTGTCACATTTAAATGCGTAGCGGCTGCTCAGAAAAGGGGCGTGGCTGAGAAACGAAGCTGGAATATGCTACGATCGCAAATCGAACAGGAAGCTAAAATACATTTAACTAGAGAGATAGTAATATAATATAATAGTAGTAATATAATATAATAATATAGGTTTATTATAGGCATCTCTAGTTAGATTTTAGCTATGCCTCCCTCCCTCCCCCTCTCTGTCTCTCTCACTCTATGATCAGACATCAATAACACAATAACATTTATAATAATACAACAAATAATCACTCCAATCAATTGTGAGCATTAAGCATTGAAATTAAACAAGAAACTAGAAACTGGTTTACACACAATCTCAGCAAATGGCTTGATTTTTATTATTTTTCTCGTTTCTTTTAATATTAAAACCGAAAATAATTATTGCCAGTGCTTTACACGGAGTGTGTGGAACCTACACAGCAGCGACAAAATGTGTCTTAACCTTGCCTTTAAATAAAGCACGGCATTGTAGTGAGGCCCACTACGAAAAGCCAAACCAAAAATATATCAGACAGTAACTGTCTCTCTCCCTCTCTCTCCCTCACTCCCCCTCTCACTCTATCTCTGTCTCTGTCACTGTTAGCTGTTCAAGTATAATTATGACAAATTAACAAAGTTATTGCATGTTACTTAGTACAGTGAACTATTTGCGTCAAAGAAGCTAAAGCAACGTTACAGTTCACACTCGCTAACAGTTTCAGCTGAAGTGCGAATGGAACGCATTTTAATGGGGTCCATATAAGTACAGCTACGAGTACTCGACTGCCTGGAGGGCATATACACACACATACACTCACACACACTCTTGTATTTATTTAGGTATTATAAGTACGTAACTGGGAATCGTTAAACTTTGTAGCACTCGAAATGATTTTACAGATTCCATTTTTAATATACCACGTCTTTCGAAATGCCAGAGAGCGAGGTAGCTTAGAGTCACGATCATCAGCTCACTGAGCTCTCTTTAATCTGAGCATCTTTAGGATCTGCAATTATAATATTCAACATGCATAAACAGCGTCTCGTCTAACCCAAAGCAATCAAAACTCGACTTTAATTGAGTATTTGAATTTCTATTGAAATGAATTGGAATTGTTCTTGTTCCCGTTCTCTGTTTTTACAGGGCATCTCTCGACTGCACACACACACACACACACACAGCTCGTTCTGTTCTTTTCAGCTTATGCGTGGCGCGGCACAAATTTATGTATTATTATAATTACACAGAGTCGAAATACTAAAATAAAAACTGAAATGTCATCGAACGTTCAAGTGGGCAAGGCAAACCCATGAAAGTGCCCAAAAATCTGAAACCCCATACCAATTTCCAATTCCACATACAATCTACCTACCCCTTCCATTCCGTTCCAATCCATTCCGTTCCGTTCGATTCAAACTGCTGTGCTCTGGATGAATTCAAGTGGCATCGAGCATTGATTTGTATAGTGTTTATTGTTCTAACGTCGCAGTATTCCCCGAGCTCATTCCGATGGCTTAAGTGGAGTTGGCTTTTCTTTGCTCTCCCTGGACCTCTTGGCGCACACCCTTTTCGGCTCTTCGGTTGAGTACTCGCACACACACACACACATAGAGTTTCAATTTAACATATGCATTTTGCCTTTTATTCATACAAGTTGAACAATTTTTGTTATAATTTGGACGCAGCTGACGGAAATTGACTCATGGCTGGCGAATTATGCTCCAGGTGTGCATGACACTGGCGCTGCCAACAACAAATTTATTAGAAATTGCTACAACAAGCCAAACACAACAACTACACACACACACACACACACACACACAGACACACAGGCGCACACACACAAACAACTTATGCAAACAAATAAACTAATTTCATGACGCACACGCGCGCGCCTGCGCAGTTGCTTCAACTGCCGCCGTCGACGTCAGCAGCGTCGTCGCCAACGACGTCGTCGTCGTGGTGTGCTACTTACAATTGTAACTAGCTAAAAAAAAAAACGAATAAGATTTTGTTCGTTTTTTTCCAAACGTGCCTTTGTTTACTTCCCAGCTCAAGCCTGGCCTACACCCAAAAAAAAAAGCTGGAAAAAGCGTCGCGCGCGAGTTCAGTGACATTTTTTACTACTTTTTTAGATACTCTATGCGTAGGGTACTACCATTTTATTGGCAAGCATGTAAAAAATTGTGCTCTAAGCAGGAAGTAGATTATGAATTGAGCAGGAATTCAGAGAGCTTAGAGAATAACCAGCTAAAGTTTTCTTATGCTTGTCTGGGAATTCAATAAAGATCTCTTCCCTATATATCATAAGAAAAATTATTGTCTTATATAGTAGTTGACTAGGAAATGCAATGTCCATTTATTAGACTGGCTTTTAAGCCCTGTTCTTCCTTATGCATTATAATTTCCTTATGATTTATAAAGAACAGTTCTCTTAGATCTTCGATCACAGGTCTCTAGATCTAGAGGAAATCTATTTGAAAAACTATAAACACTATATATTAATACTATCCAGGATTTGAGCTCTGATAATCGTTATTCCGTTTGATCTACAGAGCAGCTGACTTAGACCTCAGCTTAGCTCTCAATCCCAGCCCAAGAATAAAATTACATTTAATCCTCATGCTCCAGCCGTTTGAGCCTTTATCCTCATTGGCCCTCTTTGTTCTGTTTGCTCTGTAGAGCAAATAACTTAGATCTTAGATAAGTTCCCGATCACAGCTCGACTCTTAAAAATCTTATCCATTTTATCTACAAATACAGCTACGATCCTCACTTATGAGTAGAATAAGCTCATTGATAAATACCAACTCTCTTGCCGAAATAATCCAAGAGTATTTGCT